GGATTGTAAAATTTTTGTTGTTGCTGAATGTCTAAGCCTAAAACTTACTCAGAAGCAATCCCAGGCCAGGCATGTTGGCTCATGCCTGTAATCCCAGCACTTTGGGAAGGGAAGGAGGGCAGATCATGGGGTCAGGAGTTTGAGACCAGCCTGACCAATATGGTGAAACCCTGTCTCTACTAAAAATACAAAAATTAGCTGGGCATGGTGGCACGTGCCTGTAATCCCAGCAATTTGGGAGGCTGAGGCAGGAGAATCAGTTGAACCTGGGAGACGGAGGTTGCAGTGAGCTGAGATTACACCACTGCACTCCAGCTTGGGCCACAGAGCGAGACTCTGTCTCATAAAAAAGAAAAGGAGCAATGCCAACATTCAGAGCTCGTTATCAGCTGCTACCTAGTGCATCAAATGCATACATTCCACCGGTTTCCATTGGTTCCATTGTTTTCTATCGATTTCCTTTTTTTGTTAGTAATTTTTGCCATAGTTTCTGGGAAACCTGAAGGTAAAAAAAAAAAAAAAGGCAAACTCATCATTACTCCAGGAAAAATACCTCAACTTGTGAAAACAGCTTGGTGAAATTATCTTCTTACAACTAGACCACGGGATAAATACTTTTTAAATTTTGTAGGTTGACTTCAGCTCTGCGTACCTTACTTAAAATCAATTTTGTGGTCATTTATTTCCAATCACTTAGTTATCAATAGAATTTTAAAATTTGAGATAACTACTTTCTTAAACTCCCATTTATTTAACAATTGAAGATAGTAGGCCCTAAGTAGTTAAACCACTTACCAAAAGATACACAGCTGGTTTGTGTTTGGTGGAGAGGCTGGGAACTAGAGGGCTGTGTTTGGAGTTTTCCACCCTGTATCACCTGGCCTGTGATGCCAGCTCTCGGTTGGCTGCATAAGTTTCTACCTCTTCCACCAGCTTCTTGTTTTTCCCTAATTTTATGTTATTAATAGCTTCTTGAACTAATTCTGCCATATGCTGTGAGTGACTCAAATTGATAACACTATTTTATTCAGAAGAATTCCTAGAGATAATGCCTTGTTGAATAATTTTTTGAAGAAATAATTTGCTCTCATATTTAATAATTTGCAATAAAACACGTGGAAAACTGTCCTGCAAGGATATTCCATGCCACCCTCTCACTCAGCTACCCAATTCACCTTCCTATGGGCTACCTGTGTTACTAGATTCTTGGGTAGCTTTGCAAATGTATGTTATGACTATACAAGGAAACAGATTTTATATATTCTTTTAATGCCCTTTTTTAGTAACAACTTTTATTGTGACAATAAAGAGCTCCAATGTCAATGGCTGATACCAAGGCACTTTTACTCATGGGTCTGTGGATTGACTGTGGCTCGGCTGGGTCCAGTGGGAATCAGCTGGGCTCAGCTGTGTTCAAGTCAGGTCTATTCCACCTGTTTTTTCCAGGATCCCAACTGAGGGAGCAGCAGCTACGTGGTCATGCTCATCTCATAACAGATGGTGAGAGTGCCCTAGGGACTAGCAAACACACATGCCGCTTCTAAATCCTTACTTTGCAATTAGCACACTCTCATTTCTACTGGCGTTCATTGCTTAAAGCAGGTCACATGGCCCAGTCAAGAGTTAATGGGGTAGAGAAGCATATTCCTCCCACAGTATAGTTGGGGGAGTGAATATTTGATGTCTAATGATGCTTATTATTAACTTAATAAGGGCTCACAAACTATAAACTGCGTTTTTATTTAATATGTCTTAGAGATATTTGTATGTTAGTATATAAACACTTAAATTTTTAAAAATAACTCTATGGTATTTCATTTTATGGGTGTCTATGATAGAGCTAATCAGTTCTCTTTTGATGGACATTCTGATCATTTCTAGCACTTTGCTATTACAAATATTACTGCAGTGAGTAATATCATATATATATCATTTTGCATACATGCAAGTGCTATCTGCAAAATGAATTCCTTGAAGATTAATTGTTGGCTCCAAAGACAAATATTTAATTTTGGTAAATATTGCAAATTTCCCCTCTATAGACATTGTATCCATACACATCTCCAATAGCAGTATGGGAAAGGGCTTATTTCACCATGTTTTTGCCAACTCACTGTGTTACCCAGCTTTGAATCTCTTCCAGTCTGGTGGAAAATAACATAGTATCGATGTTGTCATTCTTATTATTTCATTTTGTTTTTAAATAACAGCTATGTTGGCATGTAATTCACTTATAAAATTTACCCTTTTAATCTGTACATCTCAGTAGGTTTTAGAATACTCACAGTGTTGTGCAACCATCACAATATAATTATGGAACATTTTCATCTGTCCAAAAGTAATCCTGTACTCATAACAGCCTTTTTCATTCTCCCTCCCCCTATCCCGCAGCAGCCATGAATCTACCTTTGTCTCTATAGATCTGCCAAGTCTGGAGATGTCATCATAATTGAAATGATATATCATGGGTTTTTTCACTTTGCATAGTGTTTTCGAGGTTCATTTATTGAAACTTATTGTGGTATGTATCAATATTTTATTCTTTTGTGGTACTAATTTTTCATTATATGAACATACAACATTTTATTTCTCCATTCATCAATCAATGGACACAAGTTGTTTACACTTTTTGGCTACTATGAATAATGCTTCTCTGAACATACATAAACAAGTTTATGTGGACATATGCTTTCATTTCTCTTGGATAGATACCTAGACGTGAAATTCTCAGTCATTTGTTAATTCTATGTCTAACAATTTGAAGAACTACTGCACTGTAATCCAAAGTGGAAGCACAATTTCACAATCCTTCGATGTATGAAGATTCCAAGTTTTTCACATCTTTACCAATACTTTTTAATTTCAGATATCCTAGAGGATGCAAAATTGTATCTCATAGTGGCTTTGATTTGCATTTCTCTAGCACTAATCATTTTCATATCTTTCCATGTGTTTATTGGCCGTTGACATAGACTCTTTGGCAACTATCTAGTCCTCAATTTTTAGTTGATTTGTCTTTTCATTGTTTAATTGTAAAAGTTACATATATATATACAACTAAGTATATGTATTTATGTACTTTTTTGAGACAGAGTCTTGCTCTGTCGACCAGGCTGGAGTGCCATGGCACCATCTCAGCTCACTGCAACCTGTGCCTCCCAGGTTCAAGCAATTCTTGTGCCTCAGCTCCCAAGTAGCTGGGATTACAGGCATGTGTCACCACACCCGGCTAATTTTTGTATTTTTAGTATAGACAAAGTTTTGCCATGTTGGCCAGGCTGGTCTTGAACTCCTGACCTCAAATGATCCACCTGCCTCTGCCTCCCCAAGTGCTGGGAATACAGGTGTGACCCATTACACCCCAACTGTTTGTATATTCTTGATAGCAATCCTTTATCAGATACATGATTTTGAAACATTGTCTTTCATTGTGTGAGTTGTCTTTGTTGAAGAAACCATTCTTTTCCCAGTGAACGGTCATGATTCTCTGGCCAAAAATTAATTGGCCATAGAGATATAGGTTTTGTTTTGGACTCTCAATTCTAATTCCTTCATCCATGTGTTTATCTTTATCCCATTGCCATGCTGTCTTGATTTCTGTAGCTTTGTAGTAAGGTTAAAATATGGAAGTGTGAGTCCTCCAACTTTGTTTCTCTTTTTCAAGATTGTTTTGGATATTCTGGGCCCCTTGAATTTCAATATGAATTTAAGATCAGCTTACAAATTTCTCCCCAAAAGGTGTCTGGGATTTTGATAGGAATTGTGTTGAATCCATAGTCAGTGTAGTTTTAAACTCAATCTATTTATGAATTAGGTAGGACACATTTTTAAGGCCATTTGCTTTTCTTTTTCTAAACTAAGAACTTATATATATTTGGCTCTTTTCTTGTGGGTGTCAGTTCCAGTTCTGTTCTTGCACCACTCAAATTATGTTTGGAAACAAGACTAGAGGGATGGGCATGATTCATAATTATATAGGAATATTGACTCATATACACTTTTCTCTGTGATTCCCTCAAAAGGATTGGGTGCACTGGTGTTATAATAGAGAATATTTATGTTTGAAACAACCAGAACTAAGAAATTAACTGAAATTAACACGAAAAATGTCCCGACCTGCAGGACAACAACAGGAGCCCAAAGGGAGGGAGTGGGGATGGATGGGCAGGAGACGCGAAGAATGGAGAAAAGACAGGAGTCTGATCAAGTCTCGTTTATTGTTGCTGAGCTCACAGCTTAAACAGGCCAGGCAGGGGGGCGGGGCAAAGGAAGCTTGCAGTTGGGAAATTCCGGCCAGGTGTGCCAGGTGCCGCTACCAGCCTCGTGCCGTCCACGGGCTGGACCTGAATCATCAGGACTTGAGCCTCCCACAAGCGGCACCTGGGCTCTCTTGGCCCCAGGATTTGGCCTGTGCTGCTGCCCACAGAAAAAAAACTTCACTCCTTTTTTTCCTTTTCCTCAGAAGACAAAGTGGTATTTATTAAAATATCCATGGATCGAAAAATGTACCAAAATAAGTTTCCTTAAAATAGCTAGACAACTCATCCTTGAAAGAAAGTCATTTCACAAGATATATAAATTTCTTCTTCATGTGGATTTTACTATCATTATTATTTTTCTTCAGATGTTTTATTTCCCTGTTCTTCATGCAGATAATTTGTAGAATTCTTATCCTCCCTGTTTTGAAAGAATTTTCCCTAGTTTTGTGTATGTTGTCTCTTTCTCTTATCTAGTACGATCTTACCATTATTTATGCTTCTCTTGTATTTTCCCATTTTCTACCTCTAATTTATAGGTCTTAAATTTAGCCCAGTCACGTCTCTTGGAAGAAATAGCTTAAATATACAGCCATGTCTTGGTTAGAGAAGTAACTCCTGGATGTGTCAAGGCCAGAAAATCAAGTGTCACCGTGAGGGCATCCAGTGACAGAAAGGGCCCACTTCCTTCATCCACCTTACCTTGCTATAAAGGAATACCTGAGACTGGATCATTTATTTTAGAAAAGAAGTTTATGGCTTGAGAACGCCGGATGTGCTCAGCAGGAAGTGCTTCCCCCAGCGGAAGTTGCGAGCCTGAGAGAGCGGAAGTGCCTCCGCTTTTGGGCGGGCTCTCGGGTCTGCACAGAAGCGGGATGGTCAAGGGCGCGTCGTTGTGTGGAAAGCCTCTCCACCGGCTGTGGCTCTGAGGCCTGCCACCCTCAGACGTTGACCCGTGGCAAATGTGGCCACCCCGCCGAGCGCAGGGGAAAGCATAACCGGCGAGCCGAGGCTGGAAGACGAAGCACCGCCGGGACTGGTGACCCGAGGCACCTCGGGGTTGTACCCGGCAGATCCAGCATGGAGTCCGTGGAGGAACACCACCTCAGCCCACGAGGGCAGCGGCTGCGGCGGCCAGTGCATGGTAAGAATTTCAGCCATGACTCAAGCAGCCAATGTTCTGGTTTAAAAAAAAAAAAAAAAAAAAAAAAAAAAGGGGCAGTTTCTTTGGTTCATGGTTCTGCAGACTATGCAGGAAGCATGGCGTAGGAATCAGCTTCTGGGGAGGGCCTCGGGCTGCTTTCACTCCGGGCAGGAGGCGTTTCGCTGGTGCGGGCGGACTTCACAGGGTAAGAGGGAAGGAGGTTGTCCAGGCTCTTAACAACCAGCTCTCTGGGGAAACTCACAGAGAGCTCAGTCATCCCCTTAACCCGGGAGGGCGTCGGCCTTTCCTGAGGGATTCGACCTCAGGACCCAAACACCTCCTATTAGGCCCCACCTGTAACATCGGGGGTGCGATTTCAACATGAGCCTTGGGAATGACAAGTATCCAAACTATAGCAGCCGTCTTGCATACTGATCAAGGGTCAGTGGTCAGTGGGTGATTTTGCTGCTCTCTCAACGATGCTAGGAATGAGATTATAAACATCTGAGGGTTTTTGTTTGAAATTTGAAGACCTCTTATTCTATTCACCTGGAGTGCTGAAAGGGTCCATTTTCATTCACTACAAACTGGCTCTCCATGCCAACGGGCGTTATTCAATTCCGGATCACTGAAGGGCTCTATAGATTGCTAAATGGCTCTGACTGTCCTTGATAATGCATTAGAGAAATGAAAAAAAGCTGTGGCATTACAACATAATTAAATTCAACTCATGAGCAAGGTAAGATGATGATGCTTTTTAAGCAAGTTTGCTGTAAGAGCCTCCTGCTGTCTCTTCAAATCTGTCCCTGGGAGCCCCTCATGTTTTGCATCTGTCCAGTCTGTCTCGTCTCTTTAATGTGTGTTGTCCTGGATGGTGTCCCATCATGATTTTTGGTGATAGGCACAGTCTTGCAGAACATGGAGCTAAAGACCCCCTTGGGATATGCCATAGGGAAAGAAGTAATGTATTACCGAGCTTAAATGTGGCATTTCTGCTGGAGAATGGTATGAATGAAATTTTGCTCATTTTTATTTAATATCTTTCTCCTAAAGAGGCCAAAGGAGGCCAGCGTTATACATGTCACTGTGAATCATCTCAGCATCACTCAGAAGTGGTCCCAAATTCAGAAAAGCGTTTTAATGGTGATTTCGGCACCATTGGCAGAGAGTACTGATATTTGGCATTTCTGGGTAACCAAGTTCTCTAGGCATTTTTGTTTTAGTAGTCTCAAAGAAAAAGAGTTACTTCAGGTACGGCTGCAGCTATTTTATCAAGAACTTGAGGAAAGAAAGGAACTAACCTCTGTAGATGTCCTCTTAATGTGCCACAGACACTGTGCTAGATGGCCAAGAGGTATTATCACCTTTGATCCCGTGACAGTCCTGTGAGGTAGGTTTTATTATTTCCACATATTTAAAATAAGAAAACTGACAGTGAGATTAAGATCACACAGCTCTAACACGACAGAAGTGGGCTTGGAGTCCTGGTCCAGTGGGCTGTTCGTTCCCTCACTTGAGTTCACTGTGCCCAGGCCCAGCTAGGACAGAGACATTCTGAGGGCAGTGCTCCGAGTCTTCCTCATGGAGCTCTCCTTTCCAGTGTGCCCCGGTGAGTTCATCAGTGCTCTTTTTGCCAGCCTCACTCAGCCTGTTATGAGTCCAATGAACTGTTACTCAAGCTGCCCGTTTTAGCACTATGTTTTCAAAGCTAAAATGAAATGTCTCTGTCAAAATGCTTTGCTGAATAATATATATTGCCTTAATATAGCCCTCATTTGACAGTCTAGAGACCATATTTAAAGAGGAAACGAGGCTAGTCTGGCATGAGGTGTGGTCCGCGAACATTCAGTGGCTCAGTATTCACCACTTTTCTCCTTAAGGGTTTAAAACTCACCCACTTACTGACTGGTTAAAGCACAGGCTGTAGGCTGTAGGTTCTTCATAATCTGCCGACAAGTTGTAGACCAGCCTTGTTTCCATCCTCCAATCCCCATATGTTGCTTCCTCTTTTTGATATCAGCCATCCCCAAATTTTGCAGTCCATCAAACCTTTGCCTTTATTTAAGCTTCTGCGATTTGACACGTTATTCCACCCACCTGAAATGCTGTTGCACTCTTCCTCCTCATAGTCCATCCGGAAGATCCCCGATGAATTTTTAAAGTCCCTGCCAAAATGTCCCGTTTTCTTGGGAAATATGCTTTCCTAACACTTTGTATGCACATTCACTTAGCACACTGCACTACAGTGCTTTACACATCTGTCTCTCCTACCTGCCTCTGCCATGGGAAAGGTTCATTCATTCATCATCAAAGACTACCATGATGCTTGGTATTGTGCAGGAGCTCAGTAAACATTTGTTGGATTCTATGACAGAATTTTCCTGTGGATGGGTTCTAGGCACCAATCCAGTTTGTACATCCATATTCTCCCTCATTTCAGGCAAATTGGCTCTATTTTACTATCTTTTTTCTCCACCATGCTTTAAAAGTTGCTAAGGATTTCATTTCCAAATTCTCTCAGTGCCGATGGCTGGGACTGCTCTGATTCTGGTGATGACCAGCCTCGAGCACCCTTCTACTGTTTCTTCCCTTATTTGAGGTCTCAGTTGCCTCTTGGAGAGTTGCTGCTTCTTGTATTATGTGAAGAACACCATATCTCAATCTAAAGACTAGGGTTCAGGTCCTGGCTCTGATTGTGTCTCGGTGTGTAACCTGGAGAAAGTCAATCCAGTTCACGAAAGCCCAATTTCTTCATTGTAATTGGAGAGTAATCCCCTTCATTTTTCTTATTTTATTATTCTAATTATGCCATCTATCATTTTCAATCTAGGCTCTCCTCCTTGGCTGGTAATTTGGAAACCAAATAGGAGATGAGTTCCTCTGTGGTTTTTCACCTTCAGGGGTAATGACTCTTGTCATCCAGCTGCTGGAGCTCTGCTCCCATAAGCTGCCTGTTAAGAGCCCCAGGTGTGGCCTGTTCTTGCTATGTCTTGCCCTCCTATGGTCACACTGTCTACCTCATCTCACGGTGTCATTCGGATCCAGTCACCTGGCCTGTTTCTGCACTCTGGACACCACATGCTACCTGCTGGATGGGCTGTTTTCCATCATTGTAGCTACAGCTACTCCCAATATCTGCTCCACAGAAATGGTGGTTAATTTCTAGGCCGCTGTATCTGTTGATATGGACAACATGACCACTGCCAGACCGTCTTTCCAAATACTTCATTTGCCTTGGAATAAAAAGATTTTCACAGCAGAGCAAGACAAGACAGATTATATACATTTCGTTTTATGATTAAGGAAACTGAGACTTAAAATGGTCAAATTACTTGCCCAATGCTACCTTGATTTTAAGCAGTGGAGACAGACCACAGCTCATACATTTTGACACCTTCTCTAGTGTTGTTCCATTATGTCAAAAGGGCAGGAAGAAGTCTCAACATTTTTGGTATTCCTTCACAAACATTATACCACTTCTCATTCATAATATGTGCTCGATTAATTTACTCATTAATTAAAAAGTACGTGACATTTTAAAATTAGGTAATTTTGGAAAAACTCAAGATCAGAATTTAAACATTTCAACTGGAAGGAGCGAGAAATAAACTCATGATGAAGACAAATCTTAGTTTTTACTTTTTTTTTCTTTATCAACTCTCTAACATTAGTATGGAATTTCTAATTAGCAGAAATAACAGCCACAAAATGGATGAAAGGATAGTAAAAGTGAAGAATAATTCATTAATGAGGGCATTGTGCTGTAAATAATTGAGAGTTGATCACAAACAAGAAGATATTTCTTTAAAACTTGTCATTTGGGGTAAGATTTCCCAAACTATTTTGCTCTTTTTCATGCAGCTTATATCAATCTTAAATCAATTATCTCCTAAAATGCCAGTGTAGTATTGTGAACAGCATAATCCCTTTAACATTGTTCTCATGTCTGTACTTGCCCCTGTGTCGCTTAGAATTCTTTCACACAATAAAAGCCTCGAATTAATAAAGTACTTCTCTTAAAAAATCAAAATGCTTTCTCCATGTTACCATTTAATTACGTCTCAAAGCATTCCTCTGTGAAGTGGGTGTGTGTGTTAGGAAGAGGAATTAGTCTTTCCCATTATGACACATAGGAAACAGCTTGGCGGAGTAGTTCCATCCACAGGGGAACTTGATGCTAATTCATTCTGGTTCATGTTGTTGACTGGGTTCTTCTAGTATACCCAGTGTTTCAAACAGAATCATGCTAATGGACTCATTCACCCAGTAAATCAGCACATAATTACTGGATGCCTACTACATATCAGATTCTGTTCCAGACATTGAGGATATGGCAGTGTGAACAGAAGAAGAAAAATGTCTGACCTTATGAAACTCAAATTTTTCTAGGAGGAGACAGACATCAAACATAGTAGGTAAATTGTACAGTGTGTTAGAAGGAGAGAAATGCTCCGAAAGGCAAGTAAATCAGTGTAAGGAGAAAGCGGAGTACAGGGACGGTACATAGTTTTATATAAGGTAGATAGAGTAGCCCTCACTGAGAGGATGCCGTTGGTACAAGAGCATTCAAAGCAGTGCTAATGCCTGGAGGTGGCAGCATGCTTGGAATGTTTACAGAATCCAGGAGGGCAGTGTGGCTGGAACAGAGCAAACAGGCTGTAAAGGAACACAGACTAGGTCAGATACGGCAGCAGAGTGTTCAAGAAGGGTCTCGTTGGCATTTTAAAGGCTTCTTGCCATTTATGCAGCATGGGGTGTTTTGGTGGATTTTAAGTAGAGAAGGGCCATGGTCACTCTGGCAACTATTTTGAAAAACAGACATAGATGGGAAGGGATGCAAGCAGAGACCATTTAGAAGGTCACTGCCTTCAACCAGGAGAGATTCAATGGTGCCTCAAAGCAGGGAGGAAACAGGAGATATTGAGAAGTGACCAGATGCTGGATACAATTTGTTTTGTTTTGTTTTGTTTTGTTTTGTTTTGTTTTAGAGATGGAGTCTCGCTCTGTCGCCAGGCTGGAGTGCAATCTTGACTCATTGTAACCTTTGCCTCCTGGGTTCAAGTGATTCCCTTGCCTCAGCCTCCTGAGTAGCTGGGACTACAGGTGCGTGCCACCACGCCCGGCTAGTTTTTTGTAGTTTAGTAGAGACAGGGTTTTGCCATGTTGGCTAAGATAGTCTCCATCTCCTGACCTTGTGATCTGCCTGCCCGGGCTTCATAAAGTGTTGGGACTACAGGCGTGAGCCATGCCCAACCTGGATACAGTTTTTACATAGATCCAGTGGGACTTGCTGATGGAACTGCACGTGAGCTGTGAGAGAAAGGAAGGTCTCTTATTTTCTGAATGAGCCTGGGAGCTCCTTGAGGACAAAACTCACCTGTTTTATTTCTTTATGATCTTCATAGAAATCTGAGAAGGCTTCATGGACAATAAATGCATGACTAAGTTTTTGTTAAATGAAAAAAGGAAGGAAAAAGCAAGTCTATATCAATAGACTTGGAATTCCTGTACTCATAATGATTTGTAAAAATAGACACTATTTCCTGAATTTCAAAAAAAAATGTTAAAAATTGCTATTTTTCTCAAGGTAAAAAAAAAAAAAAAAACTGAAGCTAAAAAAAAACTTTAAATGTCTTTATTTGGGCTGCTACCTTGATGAGGTAACAGGTTTTTTATCTGCTGTTTTGAAGTTCTGTATTATCACCATTTAATTTGTTTGACAAAAATATTCATAAAATACAGGCTTAAAAGAAAAATAGTAAAATGCTGTGGATATAATGATTGGGAATCACATATGCACATGGTTTTTAAAGAAAGAAACAAAACCAAACCGAAAAGAAATCACTCTACAATATCCATGCTTTCTTTTTTTTTTCTTGTTTACAACATAAAGATCCGCATTATCTAGAAAGCAAGCACAAAAGAGAACACATTAAATTTTATGATGGATTTTTTGAAGGTGGTCTAGTCTAATTCACTAAGTTTATATTTGAAAAACATCAGTCATCAAAACATTAAGGTGATAGACATAATTTTGTTTCCAATACGCAGTAACACAAATTCTGAGTTGTCTAATGAGGCTTAACAAATAACAGTGGAAAATTGTGAAATACGCTATTTCTTGAATCTTCCTTCTTGATATTTGCTTGGCAACAGTAATTAGCCACAAACAATCTTGAGTCATCACTGCCCAGAGAGCACGGTGAGAGGCAGGTGTGTGGAGGGATGGAAGATGAGGGAGAGAACAGAATAAGAGGTACCTTGATGGGGGAACGCTAGCTTTTTTTAAACTCATACTGTTGCTAGGAGGCATTTGTGCATAATTTTTCACAGGGCTTTACAGTCACACACAGGCATATTTGAGTCAAGGCTTTGATACTTAGAAGGTATCTATCTGATCATGGCCAGGAGTTCTTAACTAGGACAGTGGTATCTTTACATACCTTATAGGGTAAATTTTGTCAGCTATGGTAAGATTATTTTTAATATGGTTAGAGATAGCAGAAATTCAATACATGGCATTTTTATGTCTAGTGATTTTCCCAATGGGTTTCAGCATTTCCTGCCTTTGCATTGGAATAGAAACTCCTTCACCCTTCATATAGTAGATATTCTCCTTGTCCTTGAAGAGCCCGATTTGAATGTCAATCTCTCCTTCAGTAGCTCATACACTGTCATTCAGTTTTTCACTTACATGTGGCTATTTGTTTCAAGATACTCTCTACCTAAGTTGGATTTCTCCTGGAATAGTGAAAAGAACCCAGAAGACTTGGATTTGAGCTCTGCCAGGCAGTCTTTCAGAAAAGTGGAACCATTATGAACATAATGGAATAAGGGATGTATTGTAAGAACTTACACAATTGTTGAGAAAGTTATTTTCCAGAAGAAGGAATTCACAGATCTGAGAAAAGTCACTATTGGATTCCCTGAGGCCCTTGTGTGGATGGGCAAGTCAGAGCTTTCAGGGGAATCTGGAAGGCCTGCTGCATCCAGGAGGGGCACACTGAGAGAAAGCTGAAAGAATACTCAGTGAAAAGCTTTTGTCTACCTGGCTACTGACTCTTTGGATCCATGGCCCTGGTGATGGGTGTGTGGCTCCTGTTGATCAGCTGTGCTGGAAATTGGGGAGATTGGGTGTGAAGCTGGGGAGATCCAGGATATGCCAAACCCTTCCAGGTCTCTGCATGTATTATCACAGCAAATACAGAGACCTTGAGAGCGGAATAGAGTCTGTTTCACTCTGTTTACCAAATCTTGCACAAATTCCTCTCTGGGATGACAGTACTCACATGCATACAGGCAAGAGGATCCTGAGAAACTTTGTTCCAGCTAATGAAGTTGATAGATTACAAACCACCACTGCCACTTTTTGGCTATGTTGGCTATATTGGGAAGTTAACCCAACCTTTCTGATCCTCTCCTTCCCTATTGTTGCGTTGATGTAAAGGAGATAACTATTATAACTACCTCTATAGGATCATTAGTAAGAATTAAATAAGATAATGTGAAAATCCATTACAAAATACATGGCTGGATACGGTGGCTCATGCCTGTAATCCCAGCACTTTGGGAGGCCAAGGTGGGTGGATCACCTGAGGTCAGCAGTTCAAGACCAGCCTGGCCAAAATGGTGAAACACTGCCTCTATTAAAAATACAAAAATTGGCCAGGCATGGTGGCACACACCTGTAATCCCAGCTACTCAGGAGGCTGAGGCAGGAGAATCACTTAAATCTGGAGGTGGAGGTTGCAGTGAGCCAAGATTGCATCACTGCGTGTCCAGCCTGGGTCACAGAGCAAGACTCTGTCTCAAAAAACAAACAAACAAACAATTAAAAATACAAAAGAATGTATCAGACTTCTCTTACTAGATACATCCATTCATGTCATTAATGTAGGTTTATTGTGCATCTACTATGCCCTAGCAAACTATACTATGCCTAGGATATAAGGCAGTGGCAATATCTTTGTTATCTGAAAGCTGAATCAGACATAAATTAGATATCCAAGTGGAGATGTAAAGTGAGCACTTGACAGACTGGATTTCAGGGGATAGGTACAGGTTAAAAATACACATTTGGAAGTTATTAGTGTTAAGTAATGAAACACTGAAATGTATGAGCCTGAATTAGGTCACTTTAGGTAAAGTGCATGTAAATTGAGAGAAGAGGCTCAATGAGAGATCCGAGACATTTCAGAATTTGGGGGTCAAAAAGATAAGAACAAGCAATAAGGGTGAGTAAAAGCAGCCAGCAATACAGAAAGAGAAATAATAGAGAGTGATGTCCAGGGTTATTTATGCTGAAACGTCAATTTTTATGACAGCTGAGAATTGACCATCAGCTTAGCACCATGGGGGTTATTTAACAAAATGGAACAGGTTCAAGATGGAATGGAAAGATTTTGGCATAAAGGGAAGCAGGAAAGTAAGGTGGCAATAAGTGGAAAGTATGTCAAGAGATATTTTATATATGTGTGTGTGTATAAGTAGTGTGTGTGTGTGTGTGTGTGTGTGTGTGTGTGTGTAATTGGCTCTATTCTGTTAGTTTGCTGTTGAGAATGATCCATCAGTGCTGTGCTTGGGTACAGATTTCTATGAGGGTGGAACCTTTACCCAGAGATGCAAAGGAGAAAGCCTGATTCCTTCAGGTGGTTCTCTCTTTAGAGGAAAATGGTCAAACTGAGTGAGCATGCCCAGTAGTATTTGCAAATTTATTAATCCAAGTCACTCAAGTCACATCAATGTCTCAAGAGTAGACTGAGCAAAAAGGAAGAGAGGGGGCTGAAAGGAGGAGAAGTAGATTTCGGGGAGAACAAGAATGTTAAATATTTAGAGACGCTGAAAACAGATTTTGCTGAAGATTCTAAGTTCCAGAGGATACAGTGGAAAGATGTGGGGAGTTTACACACCCTTGCATGCAGTGGGAGACAGGTCAGACCAGAGTGTGTGCAGTTTGGGACAATATTTCTCCTGCAGTACTTGGAAAAGGAGATTAGAGAAATATTTGCTCCTTGAGAGAAACCTGACAAGACCTGCATGGGGCTGGGGAAATACACTGGTCCACACGGCCCCCTGTTTCAGTAGCAGTGCTGATTCTGCCTAGACCAGGGGGTCAGGAAGGGCTGACCTTGATTATCCTCTCCCTCTGTCCCTCCCTCTCCTCCACACCTAGTCCAGCAGAGGAAGGAAAACTAGATTTACAGCTGCCCAGCCCTTCCCCTGAAAGCCAGAAACACAGGTTGCTTTAGTACCACCAACTCAAAAGTGATTTGTTTCCTTCCTGTCGTTTTAATCCTTGCAGAATAATTTGTGGCAGCAATATGAAGGAGGATCAGCCCCTCAGACCCTCTTTGAAAACTGCTAGTGGACAAGGGCAGTGAGGAAGAGGAAAGTTCCTCTGAGCATCTTGTGTTAAAGGGAGAAGCCAGGCCTTGGGGATGTTCCTTCAGTTTCACAAGTGGCAAGATTTTCACCCCCAGTTGGCAGCTTTCAAATTAGTTCCCATTTCTCCAACTTAGGAAGAAGCTGTGAAAGCCGCAGGCAAGCGGGGATGAATGATTCATTTGGTCCTGGCCATTTCCTTCACTACTGGGATGTCTCAGTATCTCTCCACTCTGTTATTTGAGCATAATAATAATAATAATAATAATATTATCTGCTTCTCTAGGACTTTCAGCGGAGTCGTTAGGCACGTGATGAAACCTCGGGTTTCACGGGGCTCCATCCACGCATCCACTCATCCATCCGTCCACTCGATTACCCACCCGCCCACCACCCACCCTTCCATCGCGAAGCCTTCCTCCCTTTCCGGCTTACACTGGGCGTTAAACTCCGGGCTCTCCAGGCCTCCGGCGCACGTACACACGCGCGGGCGGGCGGGGTGTGTGGCAGCGCGGGCCACGCCGGGGGCAGGACTGCAGCCTCCCGCGGGGCGCGAGGCCGGGGAGGCCCGGGGAGCGTGGCGGCGGCCGAGCCAAACACATCCGAGCCGGCACCTCCGGACGCCCCCTCCCACGTGACCGGCCCTCCTCCCTCCTCCCTCCTCCCAGTCGCGCGCACGGGCCGGGCGTCTCGACTCCCGCGCGCGCTCGGCGGGTCCCAGTCCCCGAGAGAAGCAGCGGAGGAGGGAGCGAGCCGGAGAGGCGGCCCAGGGGAGCGGGCGCGAGTGGCGGCTGCTGGAGCCGCGTGTGCACGGGCGGCGGCGAGGCCAGGCGCGGGGAGGGTGGCGGTCGCCCGAGCGGCGGGAGCCGGGGCGGCGCGGAATCCGCATCCGCCGCGAGTGTGATGAAGCTGCCCTGCCTCGCTGCTCCGCTCGCCGCCAGCTGACACCGCCCGCACCCAGCCCGCCCGGGAGGGGAGCCGCCGCGGGGCCGTGACCTTGGCGGAGGAGGTAAATAGGGGAGGCGGGCGGGGAGGAGGCAGCGCCCCCCAGAGCCCTCCCGGCCCCCGGCCCGCACCCAGCCCTCGCTCTGCGTAGCGGGAGCGTCCGCGGGTGCAGGGCGGCCGCCCCCGGGACCCCCGCGCCGGGGCAGGGCTCACGGGCGCCGCGCGCACCCCGCGGTCCGCGGTGCTGAAACTGCCGCCCGGCTCCGGCGGCCGCCGCGGCTCGGGGCACAGGCGCGCCTGCCATTTGCCGCCGCCGGGAGAGCGAGCCGGCGGAGCTGGGGCTTGTCTGCCTTCTCTGTGCTTCGGCTGGTGGCTCTGGAGGCTTCTGCACTTAGGCTTTTACCCACGGTGCCCCAGGTAATTGCCTGCAGTCTTGACCTCCCGCTCGTTCTCGTGGCCGGGACGAATTCCGGTGTCTTCTTGTCAAAATCAGGCAGGATTACCTCCTGACTTCCGAAGCGAAGTGGGGAGAAAGGAGAGCAGCCGGTGGTGGCTGGCAGCGCAGTCAGGTGGAAGGAGGCGAAGCATATACTCTGGGTCTGTGTGGGAGACCCGGAGGAATAGAGAGGAAACCCATGCGCTGGAGGAGGACTCCGGCAACGGGCCTCTCCGATGTGCTTGCTGCATGTGGGGACGCTAGGCAGATACCTAGGAGAAAGTGTGCCACCCTGCCCCCCACCCCCATTCCCCGGTGTTGTCTTTCTGCCCTTTTGGGAAAACATCACCAAGTGCAGATGCAAGTATTGGGAGAGAAAAGAACTCTCTGTACTAGGGAAATGCTAACCATGAGTGTTTAAGGTGAGCATCCAACACTTCTGAAAATGAGTATCCAGAAAATGAAGTCAGCTACAGTGATAACCAATTGGTTATTTCTACCCGGAAGACTGTAATTTCTTACAATTCCTTGAGGGTATTGTACGTGTAAACTCATTTTTTAAAAAATCCATGTCCTGTGTCACTTTCTCCAGCCAGCCTCAGTTTGTAAGAACGCTCCGTGTGGGGTGGGTGCCGTGAATGATGATGATGAATCAGGGGAGTCCCTTAAGCGCTACCACTGGGATCTCACAGAAGTCTCTCTAACCCTTTGCAGGGCAGACTGATAATTCTTGTAGCTGAGAGTGGACCAAGTTTTGGGTGACATGGCGCAGGGGAATAATTATGGGCAGACCAGCAACGGGGTGGCTGATGAATCACCCAACATGCTGGTGTACAGAAAGGTAAGCGTGTCTTCGTGTCTTCAGTGTCTTGGAAAACAGGAAACTTCTGGCTTTCTCGAATTTTTCCCTCTAGATCAGAGTATGTGTCAACTTTGTGGCCTTGTGGATTCCCCAGATCATCAATGATTACGTACTATATACGTGAAAGTGATTTGATATTCTCAAGTGATGCCTATGTGGAGAAACACAGTGAAGTAAACGAGGCCTCACATGTTCCCTGCTGGTTTTGCGTAGATTATTCTGTCATGAGCAATAACAGGAAGTTTGGGCATTCCAGATATTTTGGTTGTTACACACATGATTTAATAGCATCCATAATAATTTTGGAAGCTTTTTCTTATACTCCCCTCTAAACATTTAGGTTATAATAATTACATAAGCAAATCACATTTCAGAAATAAAAATAGACCACTTTGCAGTTCTGTGGCAAGAGAGAATGTGTCTGTGTAAATGTATGTGGTTTAATAATTTTGCTCTTGACTAAACAATTCTAGTCTTTTTTGTCTTAGCCGAAATTTTTTTTACTTTCTGTTATTTTTATGATTTGGGATATTTACAGGTATTTATATTCTAGTGCCATATGTCTATTAAATCATTAAATAATATTTATCTTCCAGAGTTGCTTTTTTTTTTTTTTTTTTGGCCACAGATAGATTTGACAGCTTTGTAGATTCTATAGCAGTGCTATTGACAACAAACTTTTAGACACTGAGCAACCATAATAAATATGCATTTGAATATTTCATGTGCTTTCGAGTGGTTGCTTAGGTTATCATCAACAATCTTACTAAAATTAGGGATGCAGCATTTTTCTGCACCAATCATTTTTATTGCATTGTATAGATGATTTTTTGAAGTGTATTATCTGGAGTGCTTATTGGGCAAGGTTTCTTCAGTCACCACTAACAGTGGTAAAAAGGAAGTCGTGCTTTGAAACACCCCCAAATTGTTACAGGTTTTAATTAGAACCCATTGAAGAGTTCAGGATGCTTGCATTTATTTATTTTTCAGCAAGAGGATCAGAGCTGTTTATGAATAAAGATTAAAGACTATGTGCTACTTTAACCTGCACTAAATCAAAACTTTTCATCCATGTAGCCATCCATAGGAATATTGTTGTGGCTTGAATGGGAAGATGCATGGGTGTCCCGGCACAATGCTAACTGTTTTATTCTCTAGCCTTGGTGAACAGTACTACGTTGTGTACCTATGAATGCATTTATACGTGCCTGAGATAAAACAGTATGATAGGAAAGGTAACTCAGGACTCAGTTGTCTGTATTAGTCTTAAAGCATTCCAACTGTATAAATCAGGAAAATAATCCAATTGCATTTAAATTATTAGCATTGTATTTTTAAGTTGATTGAAATGACTGAATACTTGTCTGTTCTATTTAGAGTTGGTTTTGAAAAGAAATACTTTGGGGGCAGTTGGGTGGTTTTAAAGAAGTCATAATATTTTGTATTGTTTGGTAAGACTGAATATTGTAATATGCAAGCTGTGAGAATTTTGAATTCTATTTTATGGGTGTATACAATGTGAAGAGTTAGTCTTTTGGTTGGAAAATTATAGTGGTAAGCTATTTGTGTTAGGTTAAACAATTGTATTCCCTCTCTGTTTCCCTTTAAAAGATTAAGGACTGAGTGGATCGGACACCTAGTAGTTGTCTTCATTAGAAATGAACTAAATATGCAGCAACTAGTGTGTCATTCGGTCAGTTATTTTGAGAACGAATAAAATAAGAGATTTTAGAAATAGTATTTGACTGTTTAGTGTACCTGAGCCTCTGTTGCCAATTTTGAGTTTATACAGTGTTGTATAGCATCAAATCGCCATTAATTCTACTTTTAAGTTATCAGACTGTAATGATTTCAGGAAGAGAATGCACTACCTCATTTTTAAAGCATTATTATTTTGTCAGGTCAGCTTGGAACAGCTTGTGCTACTCATTTTTCCCTTCCTTTCCTAGCTGTTTGCTTAGGGTTAGTGATCACATATAATTTACTTTTCAAAGAAAGATTTTCCTGATAAATCATTATTGGAAAAAATAACCCCTTTCAGTGAATTTTACTCTTAATGCTTACCTGTGGATTGTCTGTCTATTCTTGTATTCTCTGAGCATATTTTTTTTTTGTTTTTCTTTGTGATAGAAATAACAATGTATAAATATCAGAGAATGCATGAAGAGACACAGAGTCCTTGTTTGTCATTTGCTAGTTATCAGGTCAAACGGTCTATGTCTGTGTGTAGACATAGATTGTGACATCACAAATTTCATGTGTCCTTTATGCTTCTATTTTTTTGTATCTAAAATGGGCTTTCCATTCAATATATTCTCAGTAGAGCCAACTTTTAATGTGAAGAACAGCAAAATAATTGGAGAGGGGTTTTGGTTGAATATGTGTGTTAGGATATTTCAACTGCTCCACCTTCCCAAAAGAATAAATACTAGATTGTAATGCTTGTTAATCAGGAAGTCCATCAAAGACTTAGAAAAGGACTTCAGTTCCAATAGGACATTGCTTAGTAACAGTGGAGAGAAAGGATAGGGAAATTGCTCTTCTAGCGACTCATGCTCGTTTTCCCCTTCTACTTCACTGTTGGAGCGTACCTCTTGACAGTGTGTTCTGAACTTGCAGCATTCATGGTGTTTCCCTCCCCGTGACACCTCCTGTTTATTTATTGCTTATGACTCTGATGATGTGCACACACGCAAGATACGCATGTGCTGTTTCCACTTTATCTTCATAGGCTATTGGTTTCCAAAGTGGAACACAGAGAAAAGCTGGGATGTGTGAATTTCTTGTGTGTGTTTGATGTCTCTCTCATTATCCTTGTACAAATTACAGGAGTTTTTCCAAATTTCAGAAAAATTCTGGGGACCTTTTTTTCCATGGAGAAGTCCATAGGGATCTTATGGAAAAAAATGTACAGTAGATAAAACTCTGATTGTTAAGGTAGAGTGGATGTCACCGTATTGAAGGGTACAGGTGACAGTAACGCTGCTTCATGATCCAGATTAGGGTTGCTGCTTGCAAGTCAGTCTCAGATGTTGGCCAGTAGCTTTTTGGCATAATACAGGGAGTCTCAGTAGAGTTCATCTGATGCCAGAGACACATTTTAAAAATACGTACCGGCGAAGTATTTGCCTTATCAGTTCTTCTATTGAGAATGCTGTCTTTTTCATAAGCAGGTAATTAAACTACAATGGTTATGTTGTTTTATGTACTTGAGGACATCTTATTTAAAAGCACATAAAATTATGAGACTTGACTGCTTTTATTCCTGGCACTTTTTAGGCCTCCTTCAGGCAGGACCTTAACTGGATTAGAGCTAGAAGTGATCAACTTCCTTAAGAAGAGACCTGACTAGCTCCAACAAGTGTTGGATTCAGATCAGCTTTTTGAAGAATCTGTAGAGGTGACAAGTCAGAACTCAATGTTATTTGGTGTTGATACCCCCTGTTTTGGACGGCTTTGGACAAAACTCTCCATTGTGGGAACCGCAGTGGCCGTAAAGAACAACTGAGTACAGGGAGAGACATTCCATATTTGGTGTCTGGCCAGCATGCTGTCCACTAGACAGTATACATCACTTTTAGTCCAGCAGCTGACATTCCTGCATTTGAAAAACAAACTCTCTGGGGCACCTTGGGGCCAGTGCTTCAAATTGTCTGGAATGCTGGCTTCTCGCTAGCAAGACTCCTCAAAGTGTCCAATACTTTCTGATATTATTGCAGCAATCATTTATGCTCAAGCTGTCAGAAAAGAAAATGAAAATGTTTTTCCTCATTCATTATCTTACTGCAGTAAACATGGCTTTGGAAATAGCAAACTTATCAAGTTCACTGTTCCTCCCTCCTCCTTCCCCTCATTTTTCTCCTACTCCTGTTCTCTTCTCCATTCTACTCTCCTGTCTCTTCTTCCTTATATAGTTGCTTGCTTTGCATTTGTTTGCTTTTAGTTTTTCTTTTCAGACTTAAGGTTGAAGACATAATTTGCACTGTTTATTTATTGTAAAGGAGAAAGCAATGTCTTTGGGAGAAGAGAATAGATGCCAGCCTTGTTACCTGTGAAGCTCAGGACCTGGATAAATCTTTCAAATATGGTATCATGTGGTGGTATTGGCAACAGGTTATTATTTTAGGGTTAAGATTGCTCCATTCTGGTTTTTTTTTTTTTTTTTTAAGTCAGGGTCTTGCTCTGTTGACCAGGCTGTAGTACAGTGGTGCCATCATAACTCACCGTAACCTTGAACTCCTGGGCTCAAGCTATCCTCCCACCTCAGCCTCCCAGGTACCTGAGATTACAGGTGGGCGCCACAATGCCTGCCTAATTTTGTTTTTTGTTTTTTGTTTTTGTAGAGATGGGGTCTCACTATGTTGCCCAGGCTGGTCTTGAACTCCTGGGCTCAAGCGATCCTCCTGCCTCAGCCTCCCAAACTGCTGAGATTACTGGTAAGAGCCACAGCGCCCAGCTGTGACTGTTCCATTCTTGAAGAGCAAGACGAGACTACTGGCTTTTCTTATATGAAGTCACAATGAGACCTGTCACCCAACCAGGAAGAGTATTTGTGCTGATTGACTTGACCTAAACATTGTCTTTGAAAGCTACTTCTAAAGTCGGTCTGCTCTGTGAGAGGAGACATACTTACCAGAAAGAGGAGTGGCTTGATTTCTTCTTTGGAAGAGACAGGGCCACAGACATTACTAGTCTCTTAGTGGTGAGCTAGCTGACATTTTCTATATTAACTCAGTGGATTTGTCAGTACAGGATTGCCCATCTGGTCAACCTTGAGGGTGTTGATATTTCTTGCTTAAATCCCCATTGTGAAAAATAATATTTGACTTTCCTTTTTTTTCAAGATGGAGTCTCATTATGTTGCCCAGGCTGGTCTTAAACTCTTGGGGTCAGGTGATCCTCCCGCTTCAGCCTTCTGAGTAGCTGGCATTGTAGGCGTGTACCACCATGCCTAGTTGATCTTTAGTATTTTCGAACCT